ATTAATAAACAATAAACAATTCCTAATAGTTCGCAGTGTCCAAAAGTCTACTGGGCTGCCTTGGGTGGCACTGGGCTGAACCTCCCTAGAGGTCTCCGAGCAGAGGCAGGATGACAGTCATCAGGCACATTGTGGGGAGGGAGATGACTTTTTCAGGTACAGGCTGGACTGGATGACCTCTGAGGTCCATTCCAATCCTGAAATTCTGCAATCACAAAGTTCCTTCTAGTCCAAAACCCTATGATTCTCTTCTTATCATACGGAACCTGTACTAAACACATTTTAGAAAACACTGCTTTGCAGTGGGGGCAGCGAGGTGGTACGGTGGATAGAGCGCCAGGCCTGGAGTCAGGAAGACCTGAGTTCAAATCTGGCCTCAGACACTTACTAGCCGTGTGACCCTGGGCAAGTCACTTTACCCTGTTTACCTCAGTTCCTTCATCTGTAAAATGGGCTGGAGAAGGAAATGGCAAACTACTCTGGTATCTTTGCTGAGAAAACCCCAAATGAGATCTCAAAGAGTCAGAAAGGTCTGGCTAGTAACAACTGCCCTACACAATATCAAATTGTAACTCCTAGCCTGATTTAGGTCCTGGCCCAGCCGAGCAGTTTTTATTTCCCACTAATCTGTAGCACCCATTCTGCTTTGGTTCTAGTCAGGCCAATCTCTATACCCACCAGCAAACGTTCCATGCTACTTCCTACCTCCGGGTCTTTCTTCTTAAAGATCAAAGTCCCCTCTCTGGACCCCGTAACCCTTCAAGAATACTTTTTTCTTTGCCAGTCCAAATCCTGTCCATCCTTCAAGGCCCAGTTCAAATCCCACCCCCTCCACGAAGTCTCCCCTAATTATTCCAACCCTCATTAATTTCCCCACTCCTCTAAATTTCTATAGTGTCTGTACTTTATAAATTAGCACTTAATTTAATCTTGTTACTGTAATTTTTTAAAATTTTACTGATATTTTGAGGGGGTTTTTAAAAATTATTTTCAGGTTAAAAAGATCACATAGTCCCACTCTCTTATTTTACAGTTGAGGAAACTGAGGCTCAAAAATGTTCCCCCCCCTTTTTTTTTTCAGTGTGGCAATTGGGGTTAAGTGACTTGCCCAGGGTCACACAGTTAGTGTCAAGTGTCTGAGGCCATATTTGAACTCAGTTCCTCCTGACTCCAGGACTGGTGCTTTATCCACTACACCACCTAGCCACCCAGTTTCCACAGCAGTGGAACCAGTAAAGGCCAGGTTCTCTGACTCCTGGTGTAAATGGTCTTTGCACTACTTCCCTGGGAAGGTCAGTACTCCCGTAGAGAACAAGGTAACCTTCAGGGCTAGAGAAAGCTGAGAAGTCCTTGCCAGTAGGAAGAAATATTTCTTGTTGAGAAAAGTTGATTCTTGGGACATCCAGCCCTTTAAACAGGCTCCTTATATCGGTGCCTGAAGGAAGAAAAGCGTGGAGGTGTGTCCCTGAGCCCTGCGTGCGTGGTGGGCGGCTTGTCCATAGTGGTTTGAAGACAAGTATGGCCTGAGTTAACTCCAACCAACCAAGAAGCAAACCACCAAATTCAGGCAAGAAAAGACTTCCAGGAGTACAAGACTAGATCCCCAAGCCCCTGGGGCTGGCTTTCTGTCTTGTCAGATGCTGGGGCAGCCATACAGAGATGTAGCACTGGACTAACCACGTCCTCCTCCTCCATGCTGCTCCATGGCTAACAGGCAAGTCTTTGCTAGTAGATGTCTTTGAGGTAGAGGTCTGTGGGGTACAAGACCAACCCTACCTCCCAGTATCCAGGAAAGAGCCAGCTAGGCTAGGGACCTCACTAGAATGACATCAACCTCTGTCCTGGCCACACAAGGGAGCAGATGTGTGACCTGGCCAGTTAACTGAGCCGCGGGTAGTGTCACCTCCCTATTTAGTAAATAGTGGCTCCCTATGACCTCCAAAATCAAATATAAAATCTTCCATTGGCATTAGAGCCCCTCATGACCTGGTCCCTTCCCACTTTCCCAGTGTTCTGATACTACTACTCTCCTCCACATACTCTATGAGCCCCCATCATTGGTGCCTTGCTCTTTCTTGCATTGGACACTGCATCTTCTGACTCAGTGCCTCCATATGCCTTGAATGTTCACCCTCCTCACCTCTACCTCCTGGTCTCCCTAGCTCCCTTCAAAGCCAGCCCACATGCCAACTTGTGCAAGAGGCCTTCCTAGGTCCCCCAGGATGCCAGTGCCTTCTCTCTGAGGTCATCTTCCATTTACACCATTTCTCTTGGTTTTTTTTTTTGTTTTGTTTTTTTTGCATGTTGTCCCCTCATTAAGCTCCTTGAGGGCAGGGACCGTGTTTTTGCCTTCCTTTGAACCTCCAGTGATTAGCACAGTTCCTGGAACATAGAAAGTATTTTAAGAATGCTTGTTGACTCTTTGGCTGCCTGTCCCCTAAATCCCGGAGAATAATCCCACCTCTCAGATCCATGGAGACAATTGGCCTTCAAGGAAAGGGGAAGGAAGGCCCTAGACAGGAGGTGGTTTCTGGTTATTAGTTCTTTGCTTAGTAATGTCAACCGAGCATCTAAATTGCAGGTAGAATGGCTTCCGGCTGGGGCTTCATAGGCTGCTATGAGCAGGAACTCCAAAGAAATTGGAAGGAGGAGATATTAAGTGAATTCATCATGGCTTTGAAATGAGATGAGTTACCACAGACAGGCCTTTCTTGTTTTCCAGCCCTTCCCAGGATGAGTTCATCTGTGGTACCCTTGGGAAAGGGTACAAAAGACCTTCTCTAAGGGTGATTCTGGGAACACTGAGGCAAAGGGAGAAGTGGCCCTATATTTAAGTGGTTTAAATACCCCGGGCAGCTCATTTTTTGTCAGTAAAGTTTGATGGTTAAAACTCGGGCCAGATGACCTTTCTGCTGGCCCATTTGAGAGAACTGGGCCCAGAACTACGGCAGCTAGGTGGCATAGTGGATAGAGCGCTGGGTCTAGAGTCAGGAAGATTCATCTTCCTGAGTTCAAATCCAGCGTCAGACACTTCCTAGCTGTGTGACCCTGGACAAGTCACTTAACCCTGTTTGCCTCAGTTTCCTCATCTGTAAAATGAACTGGAGAAGGAAATGGCAAACCACTCCAGTATCTTTGTCAAGAAAACCCCAAGTGCTTTCTGCTGGTTCCTCCTATTGGTTCTAATTCTTACTTACAACGTCACTAATGTGAAAATATGTTTAATAGGAATGTATATGTGGAGCCTCTATCAGATTGCATGCCATCTTGGGGAGGGAGAGAAAAATTTAAAACTCAAAAGCTTATGTTAGTGATTGTTGATAAATCAAAATAAATTAATTAAAAAGAAAAAAGAAAAAGAAAACCCCAAGTGGGGTCATGAAGGGTAGGACATAACTGAAAACAATTGAACAGCAACAACACAAAAAGTTTAGTGCTAGGATCAAGTTGCCCCTTTAGAGGACACTACTCCCCCAGGAAGTTCTGTATCCTCTCCTATGTAGGGGCTTATTAACTATGGTGTCCTTGGAACAGGCAGAGATTTGGAGTGAAGACCTGGGTTCAAATTCTGTCTCTACCACAAGGAAGGAAGGACATCTCTTTATTTTAGTGCTTACTATTTGCCAGGCACTGCACCAAATACAAGCAAAAAGAAAACCCTGCCCTCGAGACGCTTACATTCTAAAGAGAGAAGACAGCACACAAAAGAAAGCTGATAAGTGGGTGGAGGTGGCAGGAGAATTGAAAGTACCCAGCAGAGGGGCATAATTTTGAAGTCCAGAAAGGCAGGAATGGGTCTGGGAGGGTAATAAAAGCAAGTCAACCTGGGGTCCTCCACAAAATGGAGGCTCCAGTAGGAACTCTGCAATGGGCAAATGGGGACACTTCAGGAAGAGAGATTCCATAGTCAGCAGGCCACAAGGATGGTAGGATGTTCCAGTGAGGAGGCTCCAGGTGCTAAGGGGAGTTCCAGGGTGAGACTGCAATAGATGCATGGCTATGAAACCTGTAAAATCAGGAACAAGGCTACAGGTAGAAAGCACTTATTAGCCCTGGGCCTTTGGGAAAGCTTTCTTGAGTCTCAGCCTCCTTAGCTGTAACATTGTCAAACCCATACAGGGCCATGTAAATGCAAAGTGATTCCTGAGGCATAGGGTTGTGTATGGAGAGAGAAGACTCTTCCCTCCATTGTATCACTGGGGAAACTGAGTTTGAGAGAGGTACGGAAAACTTGCACGAATCAGACCATGGCAAGTTCCTGTAAGGGTCCAGGTTTCCTGACTCCTGTGGCTGAAACTTGTGTCTACAGGGATCCCAGAGGGCTTTGGAAGGTCAGGTTGAAGACCATCTTCTTCCCACCTCTCCTACAGTGCCATAGCAATAAATGGCATAGTTTGTTGGAATCTGGCTATTTTAATGTGTTTCACACTGGCAGTCTTCAGCGAAATACAGGCATACCTTGGAGAGAGTGCAGGTTCAGTTCCAGACCACCACAAAAAGTAAATATTGCAATAAAGCAAGTCACATGAATTTTTTGGTTTCCCAGTGCATAAAAAAAGTTATGTTTACATTATACCATAGTCTGTTAAGTAGGCGATAGTATTATGTCTAAAAAATGTACATACCTTAATTAAAAAATACTTTACTGCTAAAAAATACTAACCATTCTCTAACCTTCGGTGAGTATAATCTTTTTGCTGGTGGAGGGGTCTTGCCTCGATGTTGCTGGCTGCTGACTGTGGTCAGGGTGGTGTTTGCTGAAGGTTGAGGTTGCTTGTGGCCATTTTGTACAATAAGACAACAAAGAAGTTTGCCTCATTGATTAATTTCTCCTTTCAGTGGAACACCTAGAGATCATTGTAGGGCTGTCCATTGGCCTAATTTCAATATTATAGTGTCTCAGCGAATAGAGAGGCCTCAGAAGTGGGAGAGAGATGTGAATTGCCAGTCAGTGGAACAGTCAGAACACACTCAACATTTATTGATTAAGTCCACTGTCTTATATGGGTTCAGTTTGTGGCACCCCAAAACAATTGCAATAGTAACATCAAAGATCACTGATCACAGATCACCACAACAGAAATAATAATGATAAAGTTTGAAATGTTCAGAGAATTACCAAAAGGTGACATAGAGACACAATGTGAGCACATGCTGTTGAGAAAATAGACTTGTTCAATGCAGGGTTGCCCCAAACCTTCAATTTTTAAAAGGTGCAATATCTGCAAAGTGCAATAAAGTGAAGTGCAAAAACCCAAGGTTTGTCTGTACATGAATCGAGCCCAGGTTGTGTTCTGACTAGGAGAGAGAGGAGGACCTGGGTTCACATTCTACCTCTGATATTTACTACCCCTGTGACCTTGGGCAAATCACTTAATATCCTTGAGGCCCAGTTTTCTTCTCTGTAAAATGAGAGGATTGGACCAGATGCCTCTGAGGTTCATTCAAATTCTAGATTCCTGGAGGAAGAGGGAGGAGGACACCTGAAAAGCAAAAAGGGCTATGTGAGGAGGAGTCTCTTGCTTCCCAGAATGAGCTCTCTGGTTACTTTGGTGCTGCAAGCAGTGAAGTTGGCCTTCTTCCCCTTGTGCCTCAAGGGAAATGCAGCCATCCCAGCCTTCAGTGGGTGCACAGCCTGGCAGGCAGTGGACCAGCCCCCTCTCTGGGCCAGCTCCCCATTCTGGCAGCAGGCAGGCTGCCTGCTTGGCTGAATGTGTTGTTTGTGTGCGCTAGACAGTCTGTTGGGAAGATTTCAGGCATGGCATTGGCTCCTGGCTGGGTAAACCCAACACCATCTGTGAGTGCAAGATTCAGGGCAGCTCCTCCCTTCTCAGAGAAGATCCCCTTTTCCCACTTCACCTCCTATACTCCAAGGTTCTTGATGAGTGAGTGTGTGAGTGTATGTGTGTGTGTGTGTGTGTGTGTGTGTGTGTGTGTGTGTGTTTGCTTAAGAAGGGGTCCTGTCCCATTCCAGCTATGGGCCATCTATCTATCTAGAACAGATGTTCTTAGTCTTTGGCAATCTGGTGAAGCTCAGGTACCCTTTTTCTCAGAATATTTTTTTATATAAATAAAATATATATATATAAATATATAAAATAAAATGCAAAGAATTACAAAGAAAACCAATTATATTAAATAAAGATATAATTTTTCTTATTCAAGCATCTAGCCATTGACCCCTTGCAGGTTCTGTGGACCTCAGGTTAAGAATACCCATTCTAGGGGCAGCTAGGTGGCACAGTGAACAGAGCTCCGGCCTTAGAGTCAGGAGGACCCGAGACCAAATCTGACCTCAGACAATTAACACTTACTAGCTGTGCGACCCTGGGCAAGTCACTTGGCCTCAATTGCCTCACCAAAAAGCAATAAAAAAAAAATACTCATTCTTGAGACCAACACAGGGTCTTGGAGTCAGGAAAACCTGAGTTTGAATCCTGCCTTAGACACTTCCTAGTTGTGTGACCTTGGACAAGTCACTTAACCATTGTCTGCTTCGGTTTCCTCATTTGTAAAGCAGAGATGGTAATGGTATCTATGTTCCAGAGTTGGTGTGAGGACAAAATGAGATTACACATATATATGTGAAATACATATACGTATATAAATACCTTGCAAACCTTAAAGGGTTGTATAAATATTAGCAATTATTGATTATGGTTATGATTATTATAGAAACCTCAGAGACCACCTAATCCAACCCTTCCTTTTATAAATGAGGAAACGAAGGATGGCCACGTTCACGTTGGCACAGAGGGGGACCTGCTCTCTGCTCCTTGAGCACTCATTCCATCCTGAGGTTAGGTTAGGACAGCCCTGGAGGCCAGGAGCTTCCTGGTTGGGCTGCGCAGGAAGCCTTGGCCTGTGTACGGCGAGCTAAAGGTGACCCTTCAGACACAGTCACATTTAGGTCCTGGTCCTATCCCTGTGTCCCCCACCCATCCGCCCCTCTTGCTTTGCCCTCGGTGTCAAGCTAACCTCTCCAGGGTCTGCAGGCCCCGCAGGGAAGGTGTCAGAATTCCTCCATCTGGTTCTCCAGCCACTTTGCCCAAATGAGTAGAGGAAGTGATAATGTGTTTGTGTTTATAACCACAAGGAGATCTGTATCTTTCCTCTCTGGCCCTAACCTGGTGCTCTCGGCTCTCGCTGTTTGTGCTCTGGATGTTCCAACAGGCCCAGTCGCTTCTGCTCTTCATCGAGAGAGAATGCTGGGAAGGGTTTGTCCCTTCTGTCTCACCTATCATGGGATCTCGAGACGGCTTCAGTTTGTCCCCCTGGCTGTCAGGGCTCAGATGGGCATCCCCAGTGGGGAAATGTTTATTTCCTGGTGTCATAACTTAGCACATCTGGAGCTGCAAGCTACCTTAGAAGCCATCAAGTTCAACCTTCTTATTTTACAGATGAGGAAACTGAGGCATAGAGAGCTTAGGTACCTTGCCCATGATTACTCAGTCCCAGGCCACTCCTTGATGATGAAATGCTGAATCACAGTGCCCAGAAACCTTCTCGAGCCTCAGGGAACTTTAGTGGTCAAGGTAGCACTCCCTGCCCTGAGCACTATGCCTGTGGCCCAGTAATGAGTTGGGGGTTCAAGGCCAGGGCATGCCAACTGAGGCCCATGAGCCAGACATACAGGCAGAAGGGACCCTGTCATGTAGCCTTCGCTGATGGAAGTTCCTTCACCCTCTCCACTTTGGCTCATGCTAACGGGCAGTACCAGGGGCTGGACTGGGCAGTAGATAGGCACGTGGGAGGGGCATAAAAATCCCCCAGTTCTTACCTTTATTTCACTTATAAGAAGCCGCTTGGCAGAGTGGGTAGGGAACTGAACTCAGAATTGGGAAGATCTGGGTTCAAAACCAACCTCAGACATTTACCAGCTTCTCTTTTCTGCCTCTCAGAAATGAAGGGGTCTGGGTCAGTAACCTCCTAGACCTCAGAGGTCACCAACACTGACCCCTAGGGTCCCTTCCAGGTCTACATTTATGATCTTATTCCGGTGATCACCGGCATTCTTTGACAGCCTCCATGAAGCACAACCCAGTAGTTTCAAACGTAGAACCTTTTGTCATTAGAGATTCTCAAAGCTGGAAATTATCCTAGAGGTCATAGGGTCACAGACCTAGAGCTGGAAGGAGTCTTGGAGGTCATCTAGTACAACTACTTTATTTTATGGCTGAAGAAACTGAGGCTCAGAAAAGTTAAGTGACCTCTGCAAATCACACAGGTAGGATTTGAACTCAGGACCCAGACTTCAAATTAACTGTTTTTGCCACTGCACCACACTGCCTTCTCTGCACAGCCCTGCCTCACTTAAATCCAATTCACTTGCAAGTCAAGACATCACCCTCCTGATGCCACTGGTTCTCTTCAAGAATGAAGGATGAACAAGTGATAATAATAATAATTATTATTAATAGCTAACATTTATATAGTGCTTACTATATGCCATGCTAAGTGCTTTACAGTTATTATCCCATATGGTCTTCACAACAACTCTGGGAGGTGGGTGCTATTATCCCCATTTTATAGATGTAAAAACTGAAGCAGATAGAGCATAAGTGACTTGTCCAAGGTGTCACAGCTAGTAAGTATCTGAGGCTACATTTGAACTCAGGTCCTCCTGACTTCATGGCTGGTGTTCCATGCCCTATGGCGCCACCTAGCTGCCCTGAGGAAGATTCCTTATTCATTACTCCATACTACCTCTCACGGTCCTAAATCAGGGGTGTACTGGAGCCAGCTCCAACAGGAGAGATGATTGTTAAATTTTCAGCATGAGCATTTACACCTCAGAAAACAGCAAAGACTACAAATCAGGGCTTGCTTTGTCATTTTTGCTGACCGTCTAAAGTAATGGAGAAAATGTTAATAATGCAATAAACTTAAAAAGTGTGTCTTACATACATGGAAAGCTAGTTATAAAAAATTTATCAGTGTAGCCCTAGTCCTGATGATGCAGTGACAAAACGTGTCCCCAAAGCTTTCTCTCAGGGGGAACAAAATGTCCACGTAAAGTAAGTGTACATAGACAATATCCAAGATAAATGCAAGGTAATTTTTGGAGGGAGACCCCAGCGTCTGGGGGATCAAGAAAGGCCTCGTGGTAGCTTTTGGCATTTGACAAACAGTGAACCAAAATGAAACTTTGGATTATAAGTACTTCCTAATCATAGCTCACATTTGCATATTGCTATAAGATTTGGAGAATGCTTACTTTACAATAGCCCTTTGAGGTAGGTAGCGTAAGAAATTGGGGCTCATAAAGGTCCAATGACTTGCTCCAGGTCGTCAAACCCAGGGTGTCTGACTCTAAATTCAGTGCTTTTTCCACCACACCGTACCATTTTCCTATATCATGTTGCCTCCCAATGTTCACATAAGATCCCATCAATTTGATGATAGGGAGTCAACAGACCTTTATTAATTATCTATTATGTGCCAGTCACTATGATAAATGCTTTACAGATTTTATTTCCTTTGATCTTCTCAACAATCTTTATGAGGTTGGGGAAGCTAGTTGGCACAGGGGATAGAGCTCTGGCCTTGGAGTCTGGAGGACCTGAGTTCAAATCTGGCCTCAAACATTTGACACTAGCTGTGTGACCCTGAGCAAGTCATTTAATCCCAGTTGCCTCACCAAAAAAAATCCAAAAACCAATCTTTATGAGGTAGGTACTATTGTGATCCCACTTTATAGTTGAGGAAACTGAGGCAGAAGCTAAGTGACTTGCCCAGGATCCCACTGCAAGTATCTGAAGACAGATTTGAATTCAGGTCTTCCTGATTCCGGGCTCAGTGTTCTATCCATTGTGACACCTAGTAGCAGAGGCCAGAGATCCAGACCCTGGTGTTGTGACTCCAAGTTGAGCATTCTTCCTGTGCTGGTTCTCTGGAGCAAATGCCAGTTATTTCAGTCAGGTCAGAGAATCTGCATCTTTATAACCCACTCTATCCAGCTGGCCTCAGACTGTGCCTCTCATGCCATCCAACCTTCCACTAGGAAGCCAGGACCTAGGGAGCTTGGGCATCTTATCATCTCCCTGGCTTTGGGGCCTCCTTGGTTTGCTCCAGGAGAAGCAGCTTTCTGACCCAGACCTCAAGACACTAGGGCCCCCAACATTCCACCAAGAGAGCTGATTGACTCCTCTTTGGCTCTCTACCCCTGGGGCTGATCTGATCTGGTGAGTGAGTGAGTGCTCTAACATCTAGCCCACTATACCCAGAGAGAGAGACCTCGTGCCCTATCTCCTCTGGCCATCCTGTTCACTAGGGCCTACTTGGTCAAACATTGGTGCTGTCTGCTTCGCCTTCTACCTGGCTTCCGCTTTTTACTCTTTCTCTGAGAGCAGTAACCAAATCATTGCCACTGGGCAGAATGTGACAATCTACTCCTCTGTAGCTTCCCTACCAATCCTTGGGGGTCCCCAGGGCAAAATCCCTTTGAGGCTCCCTGTTGTTGTTCAGCCCAGTTGGTCTGACTCTTCATGACCCCATCTGGGGTTTTCTTGGCAAAGATACTGGAGTGGTTTGCCATTTCCTTCTCCACTCATTTTACAGATGTGGAAACTGAGGCAAGTAGGATGAAGTGACTTGCCCAGGGTCACACAGTAAATGCCTGAGGCCGGATTTGAACTCAGGAAGATGAGTTTTCCTGACTCCAGGCTGGGTGCTCTAGCCACTGAGGCACCTAGCAGCCCCATTGATGGGGCCACCTACTTCCCTCTATATGTTATAGCACTTTCCTCTTAGAATGTAAGGCCCTTCAGATCAAAGGCATACTATTTGCTCTTTTTTTTCTTCTGTTTTGCTTTGTTTCCTCTTTCTTGTGGTTCCTCGTATTGGTTCTAATTCTTCCTTACATGACTAACGTGAAAATATGTTTAATAGGAACGTATATGTAGAGCCTATATCAGATTGAGCAACGTCTTGGGGAAGGGGGGGAAGGGGAGAAAAATTTAAAACTCAAAAGTGTATGGAAGTGATTGTTGAAAAGCTAAAAATAAATTAATAATAATAATAAAAAAGAATGTAAGGCCCTCAAGGACAGGAACTGTCTTACTTTTGTCTTTGTATCCTCAGTGCCTGGTACATACTAGGTAGGCCCTTAATAAATGCATGTTAGTTCATTTATTCATCATTCATTGCCATAGGCATGTTAACATTTAACTCTAGCTCCAACCTCATCCAGGGGGCTTAGGACAGACACTACCAAGGATCCCCTTCTGCATTCATTCATGCATTCAATTGGCTAGGCAATGGGGTTAAATGACTTGCCCAGGGTCACACAGCTAGTAAGTATTAAGTGTCTGAGGCTGAATTTGAACTCAGATCCTCCTGACTCCAGGGCTGGTGCTCTCTATCCATTGTGCCACCTAGCTGTACAGCCTTCTGGATTTATAATGGGCAAGAGAGGAGAGGTGTTAAGCCAATAAATCCCAGTTGGCACTCGTCAAATAACCAAATTAAGGTGGGGAGAAATTCCACACGTTCCACCATGAGATTCCATCCTAATTTTTGGTTCCGGACCAGGGACTTCCACTCCCTTCCCTGGGGGAGCACACCCCTTTGGAGGATTAGAAGAGGTGAAGACAAACACATTCCTGGGGCGCTGGAGCTGGCATCAGGTGCCAGATTCTAGTGTTCCACCCCCTGTTTAAACTCATACGGGAACTTCCAAGAGATCTTAACTGGAGCCAGGAATTCTGTGGAGAGGAGGCATTGGAACTGGACGACTTTTGAAATTGTTCTCCCATCTTCACCAGAGGAGCTGATCTTTGCCTTATAATCAGTAAGACATGTCCAGATTGGAGATAGCAGCCCAAATTCCAGCGGGATGTGTGTGTGTGTGTGTGTGTGTGTGTGTGTGTGTGTGTGTGTGCAAGACATGTCCAGATTGGAGAGATCAGCCCAGATTCCAGTGGGATGTGTGTGTGTGTGTGTGTGTGTGTGTGTGTGTGTGTGTGTGTGTGTGTGTGTTAAACTCACCAATTGGCTTTCTGGTGGCCTGCGGATGGACTTAACTAGACTCACCCAGATCCAGGGTAGAAGGAACGGAGCTGAGTCACGTGCCGTGCCTCTGCAATGCAAATTAATGAGTTAATTACCATACAGTCAGCCAGGGGGCAGATCACCCGAGCCCCGCTGCTCTCAGCAAGGCCCAGTGCCTGGCTGGGAGAGCCGGGAATCTTTGCAGGCTGAAATGCCTCGCTGCCCAGGGTGACAGCGGAGCCCTCCGGCAGGATTCCTGGCTGGCTACTGCAGAGCGAGGCCCCGAGGGCCGAGCATCAGGGAAGAGAGACCTGCCCGGCTCTAAAGCAAGCCGCAGCTCGGAGATGGGCGGCCTGATGAAAGCCGCTGGGCGGGGACACCTCTCCCCCAGTGGCTGGTGGCACCCAGGTGAGGGGGGCGGAGGGTGGCCTCCTTCCCTCGGCCTTCCCGCTCCCCAGGGAGCGGGCCGGAAAGAAGAGAAGTCTAGCCGGAGCTGGGTCTGCCAGCTTCCTCCGTGGCTTTTCTCTGGTTTTCTCTGAGTGTAGGTTGTGTCTCACCTGACGCCACACCCTGAGATCAGACCTCAGCCAGGTGAAGCCAGCACAGTACGAACACGTAAGCCCGGGGTCTCTGCCTCCTTCCTGCTCCTCTCCCCGCCTCCCATCCTCCCTCTCCCGCCGCTGGCCGCGCTCCCGCCTCTCACAAGTTTCTCTGGGACCCAGCACATCTTGGCAGGTGGGGTTCTTCCCTCCCCTTTTCCCCGGATCGGGACTGGGAAAGCTTATCCAAGCTCGGCTGCGGAGGGAGCTGGGAGGTGCAAAAAACCCCTCTAGCTTGTCCTTTCTCTCCCTGCTCCATGACTGACAAGTCTGTCGGATTTCTCCAGTTGGGGGCTGGACTCTGGTCAAATCTCCTTGGCTCAGGTCCCTTTGTCCCGGGTGTGAGTGCAGAAGGTGGGGAGTGGAGGGGGAAGGCTACCTCTGATTATACGGTGAGTGGAGGAGAAAGGAAGTGGGGAAAGGTGTGCTCAGAAATCTCCCTGAAGAAACTAGAAATCTGCTTCTTTTAAGAATGGGAATTTTTCTCATTGTTTTTTCTTGGGGTCCAAGTTTTGCAGAGGCCGACTGGCTCTTCTGAGCATCCAAGCTAGGTATTTTCAAGGCTTCTAGGTTGCTGACCTTGCCTTTGAGGAGTCCAGGTAGCAGTGGTGTTCTGGTAGAGGGAACAGGTATGAATATCCAGGAGGTAGCTGAGGAGGAATTATTGATGAAAGTGTTTTGGAATTTAACAGGCTATTGTGAGAAAGATATGCACACAAAGGTAAAATCTACCCCCTTCCTTGGTGCTAAGAGAGCAGCTTCCAGGTTGTTGATGGCAGTTTCTGGGCTAGGACAGAGGAGCAGAAAAGGCATTGATCGCACTGGCTCTGGAGCCAGGGGACCTAGGTTCAAATTCCACCTCTGACTCTTCCTTTCTGTGTGACCTTGGACAAGTCACTTAACCTTCCTGGGCCTCAGTTTCCTCATCTGCCAAATGAGAGAATGGGCTAGGTGGTTTCTGAGGTCCCTTCCAGAAGATCTATGACCTTGTGATCAGAGGCATTATAACCCATGACCTTGTCAGAATATTCTTGACCTCTCACTTTGTACCCAACATGAAACCCACCACCCCCTTTTCCACTAGAGGTGAGATCTGGCAGGGGAGGTTTGGAATATCCTGGAAGCTGACCAGTGACACAATCTTTGAAAGACATTTGCTATATTGGTCACTTATTTCTGATCTGTTTCAGCAAACAGCAGCACCTGGATCTTTATTCATTGGGGCATCACTGAATAAGGTCCTGTGGTTAAAGACTCTCCCATATGGTTCCCAGACCTTTGAAAATTCTGTCCACGGTGAAGTGAAGAGAACAAGGAAGGGAAGGAAAGGAGGGGAAAAAGCCAGGAAGTGGTGAGTACAACTTCTGTACCTGCATGACCCTGGGTGGGAAGGGATTCTCTCTGGGAGACATCTCAAGGAGGAGATACCTTCCCTAGATAATGAAGTCCCTTTCTTAGGAACACCTGGGATTATTTCTTCCCTTGCTAGTCAATTGTCTCATACGAGCTCATGGGGGAGGGAGACGGGAGAAGAAATCCCTTTAAAAAAAAATTCTCATTTCTTGAGCACAGATGGGTATTCGTGAGCTCATTCCTTCAGCAAATTCAGCCCCATACTCTGCTCCATATCCTCGCTCCCCATCCCCATTACACACACCTGGCAGTGGCTATTGCTACCTAACAGCTCTGATTTCCATCCCTGGGGTGAAATCACGTCACCCAGGTCAGGGTTCTGAGTTCACAGGTTGGGAAATAAGATTGGGAAACTGTCTCCTGCTAACCCAGGGCCTAGAAGGACGCAGGAAACACTCTCTAGGAGATACTTGGAAGTCTGGTGCCTGGAAGGCTGATCTCTACTCTTCAGCAAACTGATACTATGGCTGCTTAATCCCAGCCAAACTGATTAATCCTGTCAAATTCCCTTTATCAAGCCCTTCTCACAATAAGGGAGCAACACCCCTAGAATAAAAGTTGTAGCAATGGATCTGGTTATCTTGGAGTAGAGACCAAGACAATGGCTGGTGGGTTTTGGTTCCTTTCTTGTTCTTATTCAAGATATACCTGGCTTCGTTCTGGATTCTCTGGCTTTTGGTTGGGGTTTTTGTTTGTTTGTTTGTTTGTTTTATCCCCACTTCATCTCTCGGTTCCTTCTTTAAAATGGAGCCAAAAATCCACAGTCTACCTCTTAGAGCTAGTAAGGGGATTTAAAGAGATATTATACTTCAGTCATTGCATATTGCCAGGCACTGTGCTAAGTGCTGGAAATAACAACAAAAAAAAAAAGCCTTGAAGGAAGCCAGGAAAGCCAGGAAGTGGAGGCAGTGAGGCAGAGAATTCCAGGCCAATGAAAATGAGTCATGGAATGTTGTGTTCAAGGGATGGCAAGAAGGCCGGTGTTTGCTGGACCATAGAGAATATGGCAGGCATTGAAGTGTAGGAAGACAGAAAATGTAGTCAGGGCCAGGTGGCTTTACAAGCCAAATAGAGTCATTCTACTTTGTATCTGCTGCCCTGACTGATTTCAATTCCACAGAACAAGATGCCCCTATTCAGGGTACCTCTGGTGACCCTAACCCCCACTTTCCTGCCTCATTTTGTGTTTGGTCTTCCCCTTTAGGTTGTAAGCTCCTTTTTATGAATTGTATCCACAGTGGCTGACACATAGTAGGCACTTAATAAATATTTATTGGATTGAAAAACAAAACAAAACCAAAAAAGTCAAACAGACCTTATGAAAGGGTTGTGTGTAAAGCACCATTTATCTGTGAGCTATGATTATTATTTTCAGGAGGGAGTGGAAAGGAATAATAATAATCATAGCTCACATTTACAAAGTACTGTAAGGTTTGCAAAATGCTTTAATACATTATTTCTTTTAAGTCTTTCAGCAATCCCCATTCTGTGGATGAGGAAACAGAGGCTCAGTAAGGTTCAGTAATTTCTTCTAGGTCCCAAAACTACTAAGTATCCAGAGGGATTAAACAAGGCTTTCTGATGCCAGGTCCAGTACTCTATCTACCTTCTTGAGAATACTAGAACTGAAAGTGATCTTACACATAATTTAATCTAACCCCACTCCTTTTAGAGATGAAGAATCTGATGCCCAGACTACAACAGTACTCTCCTTCACACAGCCACTTGAGTGTCTTGGGACTCTAGGGATACACTAAACATAGGTTCTGGCTTTGCAAAAGCCAGTCCTAGTGGAGTTAGATGCTATCCAGCCTGGGAGTAAAGGAACAAGCTTTAGGAATAAATCTTGGGTAGGAAGTCTAGAAGGCTAGATTTTGCTTCTGGGTCTACCTGCCACTTGCTAGCAGTGTGACCTCTGCTCTGTGTCTCAAGTTTCTTCATCAGCAAAATGGAGGTAATATCATTACCCTTGACTGCTTGCTTCAGGGGTCTGGGGTGTGGACATCATGAAATGACAATGTATGAGAGCTTCAAAAAGGAATGTGGCATGTTTAAAATATTAAATGTCTAATTAAAATCTTAACATTGAGCATCAATATAACCAGCTAAGCTTACTTAATAACTATTTATATTTAATAATAGCTAATGTTTATATAGAACCTACTATGTGGCAGGCATTATGCTAAATGCTTTCTAATAATTATCTCATTTGATTCTCACAACAACTCTAGGAGGTAGGTGCTATTATCCCCATTTTATAGATGAGGAAACTGAGACAAACAGAAGTTAAGTGCCTTGCCCAGAGTCATACAGCTAGTAAGTGTCTGAGGTCACATTTGAACTCAGGTCTTCCTGACTCTAGGCCCAGCACTCTATCTGCTGCATCAAAAGATGCCCATTTTAAATTAACCAATTTCTTTTTTTTAATTTATTTTGATTTATCAACAATCACTTCCATAAGCTTTTGAGTTTTAAATTTTTCTCCCCTTCCCTCCCCACCTCCCTCCCCAAGACAGCACTCAATCTGATATAGGCTATATATATATATTCCTACTAAACACATTTTCACATTAGTGATGTTATAAGTAAGAATTAGAACCAATAGGAGGAACCACCAGAAAGAGGAAACAAAACTCAACAGAAGAGGAAAAAAAATAGCAAATAGTAAGCTTCGATCTGCATTCAAACCCCATAGTTCTTTCTTTGGATGTGGATAGCATTTTCCAACATGAGGCCTTTGGAGATGTCTTAGATCCATGTATTTCTGAGAAGGGTTGAGTCTAGCAATGTTAGACATCGCACAACGTGACTGTCACTGTGTACAACATTCTCCTGGTTCTGCTCATTTCACTCAGTATCAGACCACATAAGTCTTTCCAGGTTTTTCTGAAGGCAGCCTGTAAATTAACCAATTTCAATCCATAAAATGTCATTACAATTTTTACACTCATGGGCCAACATGCCAGTCAAGGCTACAAATACCAACCCCTTTCCCTCCTGTTGTATCAAAGATTTTTGGACCCTGATCAAGCTTTTTCCTCTTGCCTCCCCCGCCCCCAAAAAAAAGAATGGAAAGAAGAACCACTTGAACTTTCAGACCTTGGATTGGACATATGGGTCATATGGTCTGATGTCTCTGTGAGGGATGCCTAGTGCCTTCTTGAAATGTCTGTATATTTGGTGGCCCTTGTGGGACTAGAAAGCAAAACAGTACCCTGGCCCTTGGATGAAGTTTCCATCATTTAATAAAGGTCTTTCCAGATTCCTTTGTATTCTTCAAACTCGTCAGTCTTAATCACATTATAACATCCTACTGCCTTGATGGTCACAATGTCTTTGACCATTCCCTAGTTGTTGGACACCTAGGCTGTTTTGCAGATGCTGCTGTGAAAGTCTTTGAAAAATAGCCTTTTTTCCCCCTGTTTTTGATTTGTTTTGTTATAACACTTAGCTTCCTTGGACCTCAGGTTCCTCATCTGTAAAATGGGAGGGTTGGACTAAATGTCCTCACAGGTCTCTTTAAGCTACAGTTTAGACTAATGATTTTAGGATTCTATGATCCAGGAGTGACTTTTTTTTGTTTGCTTATGACACAGTATCATCATCATTGTTATTATTATTTTTGCCAGGAGGACTCAGGCTCACTGGGAGAGCCTCTATGTGTGACCACACAAATAGGTTCCAGGCAAGAAGGGCTCACCCAGCACACACTCAGGGCACACCCTTTCAGAACCACTACTTTGATCCTGTCAACATCTTTGGGGAACAGATAGTCCCAACAGTGAAATCATCAGGGCAAAGAGCAAAGTTATTTTTATGACTTTTTACTGTGTACTCCTAGATTTCCCTACGAAAAGATTCTGTAAGTTTGCAAGAAGGGTGATATTCCTACTACGTTATTTCAGAGGTGGAGAGAGGGTGGTTTCCAGATGGGCATTCAGGATCCTGGGATTGGGACTGGGATTTTTGGAACTAGGAAATGAATGAATGAGCATTTATTTCACATTTTCTATGTCAAATGCTTTACTATGTGCTGAAGATACAAATAGAAAATTTGAGCTGGTTCCTGTTCTCAAGGAACTCACATCTAACTGGGGAATACAATATATATAAGGTCAGCCGCAGAGTAGATGGAAAGGTACAGATGCCCCAGGGTAGGATGTCAAGGCCCTTAGGATGCATCTGCAGATTGGATGGCAGTGTCCAAGGATAGAGAGGGCATAACAACAGGATAGATGCCTTGGGATACTGTAGCAGGGCAGATAGTAAGTGCTGGTGGTCCTATCTTGTCCAAGGATATTACAATATGTCTAAAATGCTTTGGAATATTTAGAGTGATTATATAAATGACAACTATTATTATTATTGGGCAGTTAGGTGGTGCAGCAGAAAGAATGCTGGGCTTAAAATCTGGAAGACTTGTCTTTCTGAATTCAAATCTGGCCTCCGACACTTACTAGCTGTGTAACTCTGGGTTGCCTCAGTTTCCTCATCTCTAAAAAATGAGCTGGAGAAGGAAATGGCAACCGGTCCAGCATTTTTGCCAAGAAAACCCCAAATGGGGTCACAAAGAATCAGACACGATTGAAAAATGACTCAACAATTATTCTTATCACCAGAAAGATTCTAGTTGGTGACTCCCGGCTCATCTAGGCCGTGGGAGCAGCTGTGGGTTGCTTACCACAGTGAGGTGAAGGCTGCTTTGGAGAGTCGGATGGAGCAAGAGAGATCTGCAACCTGTACCCTGTGCCCCTAAAGGTTCAAGTTCCATAGAACTGATGCTACCTCTTCTGATGCTGTGGATCAGAACAAAGGTTAGGATCTCAAGCAAGCCTTTCAAATAAAAAGAGAGGAAGGATCTTAGTGAGAGCCCCAGGAGCCTATTTCCGGCCTTGGGTGGCAAGGGAGAGCTCTAAAGTGGTTAGCCCTGGGTCAATA